TAGGAGATTGGGAAGTTCCATAATGACTTGAAGTCTGCTGAGATGCTGAAGGCTGAGGCTCCCGAATATTGAGGAGAGTAGGGAAATGGATGCTGAGGAGAAATTTGAGCTTCCAGAACGAATAGGACTGCTGTTAAGATTGTCTGAGATTCACTGCAGGGAGAAGAGCTGGTCATATCCTCCCTGACACCTCATTTTCCCATGTATAGCCCAGATCAGACCCTAAGAGATAACTGCTTTTTGGGTTACTGAGGTACATTTTGTGGACCCTTTTTCAGAACATTATCACTAATAAGAGTCTCTTCTCAATGAAAACAGGTTGAACTCGTAGGAGATTATTTATATACCCAGAACAAGAGAGGAGAAATAGAGATATTATAGGAATTTGATTTGTCTGTTTACAGCTCTCCGAATTATTTTGTGCAGAGTTCGGTCATTTATGTATAAAATATGAAAATCTCTTCATCTCCCTCTGCCTCATAATATAAAACAAAAACAAAACAAAAATCAAAATCCTCTCTCCCTACATATATATTTATAGAGGAAACATATAAAAATCTAGAAATATATAGAGAGAGGGGGGTTATTGTTTTATTTTTGTTTTTAACTAAAAGACAAATAACATTTTTTTTTAGTAACCAGGACCTCATTACTGGTAAGGTCTGAGTTAATTGCCATTTGTAGAGTAACCATGGTGACCAGCATGTTGCTTCTGAGTCCATTAATCTTGTTGAGGTTAACAGTAAATCCCAAAGGATCTTTTGCAGTGATTCAGAAATAAATCATCTTCTCACATGTATGTTATTTGGTGACAGCACTTTCTTTAAATATGTCTCCCTAACAGACAAAGAAATAAGACAATCCCTAATGAGGTGATAAAAACCCATTCCCAAATAAGAAATTTTACAAAATATAGCAAATGACTGAAAAAAGTAGATACATAGAAATGACACATGAAGGGAGGATTCACTCAATAAACATGTACCATACTCCTAATAGACATACCAAAAAAGGCCATTTACTCCTTCTTAGTAATGTATCTGTTCAGGATCTCAGCCTTGAGGTATAAACCGGAGACAAAATTTGAGATTCTTCAATGAAAAAAACTCAAATTATTTTTTAGATTATAGAAATTAGAAAGGATGAGTTGACCTGGACTGAGGAAGAGAAACAGCTGGCTGCCCAAGATGGGACTAGTAATATTTTATATTTGTGAAAAGGTGTTTGCGACATAGAAAGTAGAGCATGGCCCTACCTAAAACCACATTTGTCCTACAACATCCCCAGAGATTAAGTACAAAATGTGGTGGCCTCATTTTACAGATGAAGATGCTGAGGCTACAGAATGCAGAATGACTTTCCCATACTCAGTATTAGCACTTTCTTTTAAAAGAGCTGAATAAAATGTTAGGATTCTAAATTGCAAGGGTTGGGGATTGGATTTTCATCCCAACTTTCTTCTGCCCTTAATTCATATTACACACAACTCTGGGTCTTTCTCAACCCATGAGGTTTATATTTTCTCATCTCCAAGTATTCCTGAGCTAAAGGAGTAATCCAAGCTCTCATTTCAACCTAGGTCTTCATACATAAAAGAAATACCAAGAAAACAATAGTGTTTTACAGAAGCTAAAATGCACAATTACTCATATTTTAACATCTCTGAAATTGGGACGTGTCTTACAGTAAATGACATTGTAATTGCTGATGCTGTATGAGAAATGGATTCCACTGCCTGTACATGCACCAACATGGTCATAGCTGTGTATACTGTCCTTACCTCAACTGAGTGGTGGAACTGTTAACAATGTAGGTAGAAAGTTATTGTGTATGCGGGAGGTAGGTATCAGTTTGATGTTAGGGATGTGAATACTTATTTGGAGTAATGACCATCATTTCATATTTCCCTGCAAAGCAACATGCTGGTGCTCTACAGGTCTTAAGGGAAGATACCCACAAGCAGAAGGGTATGTTGACTTATTGAGGTAGTCATAGGATGATCATCTTTCATGACCAAAGCAACTGAAGACAGAAAGAATTACTAAATCCCTCAGAATACATGAAAAAAATTTTCAAAGTAACAAGAAGCTGATGTAGCTGACAAGTATGTCTAGCAGGACAGTTGTTAACCATTGTATCATAGTTTCATAGGCTGCTGCTTTTTGTTCTTGGCCATTCGTAAAGTAATTTTTAATCTTATAATCCATGGCATCTTAGATTCTATGATATGTAGTAATTCATCAGTCAGCATGGTTCTGTTCCCCTGTAGCTGGTGATTGGGCTTTGCCTAAAGCTACTCTGTTGATGGCAGACTTCATCAGAAAGTCCAGAGTCCAAAAACAAATCTTATTTGATTAACCAACTCTGGCAAATTAATGTTTTGTTCATTTCAACACAAATGTCTCAGACCACAATTGATATTTGATTAAAAAGGGAAATTGTCTCCAGTGGCTCTTGAAGCTTTTAAGATGATGGTTCTTTATAATTCCCTAATTATAGAAAGTGTTCATTTTTAATTATTAACAATTTAGGATATTGCGGAGGTTACAGTAAAATATTTCTGATATAGGTACAACTGGAAAGGGGGATGGTTCTGATGTAATCATGGCATCCCAAAATTATACACACACACAGTATAAACAGGGAATGTTGTGTATTCATAGATGTATAATCTATCTCTGTGGCCTCCAAAGACCCCATGAGTTATGCTAGAACTGAGAGACTCAGACGTGTTTAATGGCAGAAGCAAGCATTCCATTAACTTGGTTAAAGAGTACAAATCAGCTAGCTGAGTTGTTTCTTCTTTACCTTCACAAAGGTGCACCCCGGCCCGGTTTAAGTTTATACAGTCAGGGGTGCAGCAGGAAGAGTTTAACTAGGTCAGAAGAGTGCTAAATTTTTTCAGGCAAGCATTTGTCCTTGGTAAATTCAGTAAGCCATGCCTTTACATACCAGCCCCGGCCTCTTCCTTACGCAAGTATGACACTCTTCTGTGACTCCCGTCTCCCCAACTTCATTCTGCAAATTTGCGTTCTAGCTGTGTGCCAGGATAAGAACTTTCTCCACTAACATAGGGGTTCTCAACCTAGGGCCTTTCCAGGCATAGGCCAAGCCTTGGCTAACAAGACCTAGAGGAACAAAGGGATAATTTTTTTAATTACCTAAGGGAATCTGATTAGATTTGAATTCCTTTGAAAGAACATTTGGAATTTATTTATACGACTAAGCACTTGAGATTTAAGGTGTGTCCAGGTATAGAATATTTTTTACACCTTAATTCACTGAAGTCATCATTTTTCATATACCCCACTCATAAGATGAGGTAAGTGAATAGTATAGAATTTGAATGTCTGCCTTTATTTTCCCAGTTTATAGATACATGCTGAATGTGACTATTGCTAGAGGAATGTATTATTCTCTTAGGTGTCAGAATTAGAAAGGTCACATCCCCAGATTTTTCTGATAAAATATGCTGCACCTTGAGACGCTCACATGGAACCAAAGGTATCTTTCACCAGATATTTTAATCTCATTTGAAAACTTGTACTTGGTTCAGGGAAGTACTCTGAAATAAGACCCTATCTGCCTTTTAGCTCTCTTCTTTCTTCTCGGAAGGGAGAAATAGTGATGACATCTCATTAAAAGCTCTCCTGCTGCAGTTTAAACCTATTTGCTTTCATTCTGTCTTCAAGCTGAGAACAGCTGATCACTATTTTCTATGTAAAAATCCTGAAGTATTTGACAATTGCTAGTAAGAACATGCCAAGCTTCTCTTTTTGACACTATACAAATCCCTTTATTAAATTTTCATTATTTGTTTAGCTTCTCTCTCTCTCTCTCTCTCTCTCTCTCTCTCTCTCTCTCTCTCTCTCAACCACCCACTGGGTGATATGTCTTTCCCACCTATCTTGAATTGTTATCAAATTAGAATGTGGCCAATAAAAAGGGAGGATTAAAGAACATGGCTTCCTTTCAGCTTCCTCTCTGAAATGATAACAAATACACTAGAACTTCACTTCTCAAACTTGTAATGAGTAGTACAGATATGTGTTTAAGAGCACAGGCTTGAAAGCTGTACTGCCTGTGTTTTGATTTCCAGATCTACCACTTTACTAGCTGAGTTGTCTTAGGCGAATTTTTTAACCTTTCTGTGCCTCATTTTCCTCAACTATAAAATGAGGATCATAATATTATCTCCCTTGGGTTACTCTAAGGATTAAGTTAAGGTAACATATATAAAGAGTTTAAAAACAGTACCTGCAAATATTAAGTATTATAATTATCAACTAAGTTTCAAAATCAAAATTTGGTTATGTGCATTATGATCCATACCAGAAGCTTATTCTGAATCCTAGATATCCTGTTTATAGTAACCTAAAACACCAGCTCATTGTATTATAATTTTGATATTAATCAACCTGGCATTCTTCTCTTAAAAATGTAAGGCATGAGTATATTAGTTCTTATAACGCTTTTTTAAAATATTATCATTACCCCCAGATTTCCTAACCCAATTGTCTTAGCTCTTTAAGTTGTGACTGTAACAAGGTAAAAATTTTTTTCTGTGATGGGCTATAAATAGTGACCAACCATCTCAGGTTTCTTGGAACTGAGGTGTTTCTTGGGGCATAGGACTTTTAACTGCTAAAACTGGGAACATCTTGGGCAAACTGGGATGGTTGGCCACTCACTCCAGCTATAAAAGTACTGTACAAGGTGGAGTAGAAGGGGGAAAGGAAGAAGCAGTAGTAATATTAATCTCACCAAACACAGAAGAATTCTAAATACAACACCACCGTTCCCCTGATTTTTGACTCATGCAATCCCTGATGAGTATCTAAAGGGTAAAATTGCACCGAACTAATTAATTCTAAATGTCAGGCATTTGGGCTTCATTTTTTGCTATTATCGTCATCTGTGGGATATATTTCTTCTCCTTCATTTTATGCTGTTGCACTTTCCTCTGATCAATTTTTTGCCTTTTTCTTTTTTCCTTGTAGGTCAACTCAAATCAAAACATACTCATGGGATAATGCCCAGGTTATCCTGGTTGGAAACAAATGTGACATGGAAGATGAGCGAGTCATCTCAACTGAGAGGGGCCAACATTTAGGAGAACAGCTTGGTAAGAAACAAATGATCAAATTAATGAGAAAGAGAGCATGGTAATTACTTGTAACACAGTGCAGAGTCCCAGCTACTTGCTAGGATGGATTTGATGAAAAGATTGTCAACCCGACAGTAGAAACCAACACATCACCTGTAAGTAGTAAGTGGGTTTCCTCCCACTTTCTGTGGTATCCTTAGAATCCAAGCACAATTACAGAAGCAAAATAGACAGCCAGCATTTGGATTTAGTACAAGATGTTCAAATTCCATTGCATAAGAAAGACAGGATGTGCCTAGCTTGCTATTTCTTTGGGGCTTTTTCTCTATATACGATATTTTATACTGAGTCAGCACTTTATTATGCTATATGATTGTTGTTTTCAAGTTTCCATTGGAGGAGGGTGGGTAATAGGCACAGAATATGTCATATTATAGATTCTGGTTCTAGAGACACCACTGGCAATGTGTGTTACAGTTACAAACCTCTTTGAAACTCAGTTTCCTCATCTCTTAAGAATGAGTATTATGACCCATGGCTACTTTACCAAGTCCTGTAGATAAGATCAACTGAGATAAGAGATAGACATGAAAGAGTTTTAGAAATGGCAAAGCCATTTCAAACGCAAAACATTGTATATAGGGGGAAAAAATGCTTGAGTGAGTAGGGTAGAGTTTTGGTGCAAAGGAGGGAATCATGATTGATTTTTTAAAAATAATTTTTATTGGAGTATAGTTGACTTACAATGTTGTGTTTCAGGTGTACAGCAAAGTGAATAAGTTATACATGTACATATATCCACTCTTTCTTAGATTATTTTCCCATATAGCTCATTATAGAGTATTGAGTAGAGTTCCCTGTGCTATACAGTAGGTCCTTATTAGTTATCTATTTTATATATAGTAGTGTGTATATGTCCCAATCCCCCAATTTATCCCTCCCCCCTTTCCCCCCTAGTAACTGTAAGTTTGTTTTCCACATCTGTTTCTGTATTGTAATTAAGACTCTTTCTGTTTTGTAAATAAGTTCATTTGTACCATTTTTTAAGATTGCACATATAAGCGATATCATATGATATTTGTCTTTCTCTGACTTCACTCAGTATGACAATCTCTACGTCCATTCATGTTGCTGAAAATGGCATTATTTTGTTCTTTTTTATGGCTGAGTAATATTCCATTTTATATATGTACCACATCTTCTTTATCCACTCCTCTGTCGATGGACATTTAGATTGCTTCCATGTCTTGGCTACTGTCAATAGTGCTGAAATGAACATTGGGATACCTTTTCAAATTATGTTTTTCTACAGATATATTGCCAGGAATGGGATTGTTGGATCATGTAGTAGTTCTATATTTAGTTTTTTAAGGAACTTTCACACTGTTCTCCTTAGTGGTTGTACTGATTTACATTCCCACCAAGAGTGTAGAAGGGTTCCCTTTTCTCTACATCCTCTCCAGCACTTGTTGTTTGTAGATTTTTTGATGTTGGCCATTCTGACTGCTGTGAGGTGATTGTAGTTTTGTACAACTACTCATTGTAATTTTGATTTGCATTTCTCTAATAATTAGTGATGTTGAGCATCTTTTCATGTGCTTTTTGGCTATCTGTGTGTCTTCTTTGGAAAAATGTCTATTTAGATATTCTGTCCATTTTTTGGTTGGGTTATTTGCTTTTTTGATATTGAGCTGCATGAGCTGTTTGTATATTTTGGAAATGAATTCCTTGTTGCTTCATTTGCAAATATTTTCTCCCATTCTGTTTGTTGTCTTTTCATTTTGTTTATGGTGTCCTTTGCTGTGCAAAAGCCTTTAAGTTTCATTAGGTCCAATTTGTTTATTTTTATTTTCATTACTCTAGGAGGTGAATTCAAAAAGATATTTCTGCGATTTATGTCAAAGAGAGTTCTGTGTTTTCCTCTAGGAGTTTTATAGTATCCAGCCTTACATTTAGGTCTTTGATCCAATTTGAGTTTATTTTTGTGTATGGTGTTAGGGAGTGTTCTAATTTTATTCTTTTACATGTAGCTGTGTAGTTTTCCCAGCACCACTTATTGAAGAGACTGTCTTTTCTCCATTGTATATTCACAGTTGCTGGTTTTGATAGCATATTTGTGTGTGGATGATTTTTTACTACTACTTTATGTTTGCCTTTACCAGTGAGCTTTCCCACTTGTGATTTTCTTGTTTCTAGTTGTGGCCTTCCCCCCACACACACACCTAGAGAAGTTCCTTTAGCATTTGTTGTAAGGCTGGTTTGGTGGTGCTGAATTCTCTTAGCTTTTGCTTATCTGTAAAGCTTTTGATTTCTCTCTCAAATCTGAATGAGAGCCTTACTGGTTAGAGTAATCTTGGTTGTAGGTTTTGCCCTTTCAACACTTTAAATATATCGTACCTCTCTGTTCTGGCCTGCAGAGTTTCTGCTGAAAAATCAGCTGTTAACCTTATGAGGATTCCTTGTGTGTTATTTGTTGCTTTTCCCTTGTTGCTTTTAATATTTTTTTCTTTGTCTTTAATTTTTGTCAGTTTGATTACTGTGTGTCTCAATGTGTTCCTCCTTGGGTTTATCCTGTATGGGACTCTCTCTGCACTTCCTGGACTTGGATGAGTGTCTCCCTTTCCCATGTTAGGGAACTCTTCAGTTATAATGTCTTCAAATTTTTTCTCAGGCCCTTTTCCTTTCTCTTCATCTTCTGGGACCCCTATATTGCAAATGTTGGTGCATTTGCTGTTGTCACAGAGGTCTCTGTGACCTCATTTTTTTTTCATTCTTTTTTCTTTATTCTCTTCTATGGCAGTGATTTCAAACACTCTGTCTGCCAGCTCACTGTGTTCTTCTGCCTGTTATTCTGCTATTGATTCCTTCTAGTGTATTTTTTAATTTCAGTTATTATGTTGTTCATCTCTGTTCTTCAAATCTTCTCTTTTTTAAATCTTTCTTATATCTTCTTGGTCTGTTCCTCCATTTTTTTCTGAGATTTTGAATCATACTTACTGTTGTTATTCTGAATTATTTTTCAGGTAGATTTCCTATCTCCTCTTCCTTTAATTGTTCTCATGGGTTTTTACCTTGTTGCTTTGCCTGCAACATATTTCTCTGTTGTCTCATTTTGTCTAACTTTCTGTGTTTGTGGTCTCCTTTCCACAGGCTGCAGGATCATAGTTCCTCTTGCTTCTGGTGTCTGACCCCTCGTGGGTGAGGTTGGTCCTGGAGCTTTTGTAGGCGTCCCAGTGGGAGGGACTGGTGCCTGCCCTCTGGTGTGTAGAGCTGGTGTGTAGGTCTTGTCCCTCTGGTGGACAGGGCTGTGTCAGGGGTTGTGATTTGAGGTGGCTGTGAGCTCAGTGCAACTTTAGGCAGCCTGTCTTCTGATGGTTGGCACTGTGTTCCTATCTTCTTTGTTGTTTGGCCTGAGGCTTTCCAGCACTGAAGCCTATAGGTTGTTGGGTTGGGCTGGGTATGGTGCCAAAATTGGGACCTCCTGGAGAGTTCATGCCAATCAGTATTCCCTGGGGCCTCCACTACCAGTCTCCTCACCCCACACAGCAATCTACAGCTGACCCTTACCTCCCCAGGAGAGCCTCCAAGACCCCTAGGTAGGTCTAACCCAGGTTCCTATGGATGTACAGTTTTTTGCTGGTCCCAGTGCACTTGAGACCTTGTGTGTACCCTCCAAGAGTAGAGTCTCTTTCCCCCAGCCCTGTGGAGTTCCTTCACTCAAGCTCTGCTGGTCTTCAAGGCTAAATGCTCTGGGGGTGGTTCTTCCCAATGCCAGATCCTCAGACTGTGTCTTGGAGGGCTATTTTTATGTGAGAACGTTTCTGTGTGGCCTGCATGGGTTTAAATTTTTTTGGTGCTAGGGCTGTTTTTAGTATAGGTGTCTGCCACCTCTTTCCTCAGTGTATGCTGTCCATTATCCCCTTGATAGGAGGTGTGACTGATGTTGTAGCGACAAGAACCTGCATTGGATATTGAACCTCCCCTTTGTTCTGTGGTTGATACTGCCCTGTCAGGGGTGGGGTTTGCTCCCTAGTTCTTGGAGTATAGGCCTCCAGATCTGTTTCTTGGCTGTGATTCTGATCTGTGGTGTGAGTTAGGTGGGACTGGAGCTCTCCCACTGGGAAAGAAGCCACTGCGTATCCCTCCTCTGGAGCTGTTCACCTGTGGGTGTGCTCTGTTGTGTCACCTTTCACCTGTTGTGCGAGCTCTCAGATTACACTGCTCTCGGCCCCACCTTAACTGTGTGGGTGTGCCGGCAGTTGGTCTGGTGTCTCTAAGGTGCTGTTTTCACCAGGCCACTAGTGTAGATCCACTGAAGTCAGGTTCCAGGATCGCAGTAATCTGCATCCACTGTGGGTGCTATGGGGTCAGCTCGGACTCTGGCCTCGCCCAACACCCATGTGTATGTGTCCACAAAGTCCACAGCTGCTAAAGCTAGACCCGTCTCAGCTGTAGGAGCACTCATCTGTTCAGATGTTCTGCAGGTGCTGAGTTTACAAAGCCAGTTGCAGGGGTGTAAATCCGCAGTTTGCGCAGCAGTAAGGGAAGATTTCATCCCTTCTTCCTTAGTTGCACGGTCCCTGGGGCTGGCTCATCTGTGGTTTCAGCCCCACCTATGCATGTGGGCCACACACAGGCATCTGATCCTGAGGCTGCCCCAGAGCACATGAGCCTGCCCTGGTGGGAAGAGGGCACAGAGGAGGCGGCAGCTGGGGGACACCCATGGCAGGGACTGGTGCGTATGGAGAGAGGCTGCAATGGCCATGATTTATTAATTCAAGCCATTTTTTACTGAGCACCAGTTATGTATCCTGCACTGTATCAGACATCATGGGGGATACCAAAAAAGTGTGACCCACAGTCGCTTAGCTCAAGTTGCTTTCAATCAAGTGAGGAGACCAGAGATACACACAAGAAAGCAGAAATAACAAGGCAACAAAAAAAATAGCATCATGAGGATATGATAAGCTAGGAGACAGACGCCAAGAGGAAAGCAACAGAGGGAGGGAGGTAGACAC